TATATGGTGGTGGTGATGCACAAACCAGTGGCCATTGTGGTTCTACCAGTGGCTACCGGTGGTGGTGGAACGTGGGCATGTTGGATGCTTTGCAGATGCAAATTCCACCATGACGGAAGGTCATACGTGCGCCAAGTGAAGGGATACCTGGTAGGCGCTATTGCGCATTTGTCAAGGTGCTATTCGCTGGAGTTGCGAGTGGTGCCTTTCTTAGCCAAAAGGCCCGGGCAACAAGCTAAGAGGCATCAGACAGCTACACTGCCCGGACCTTTCGGACAAACGCCGCCGAATTGGCGCGCTTTTTCCTCGCAGCCCCGATTTTCGAGCCCGGAGAGGCTGGTGGATTTTTGAGCCCTGTGTCTTCGGCAAGGCTCAACGAGAACATGGGGAGGGCCGATGCAAGAACTCTATCTGGCCATGGGTCAAAAGCCAAATCGTACCCTCAGTGAGCATCCCAATCCAACCACTAACATAGGTTCTGCACCTATCCCAAAATGGAACCATTGAATTTGAACCATGGGACTAGAATGGGTGGTGCACCTACCAACCAAAATGGGATCCCATTGGTTTTGACAACCACAGCCATCTGACTCTATCCTTCATAGCTTCATGGCCCCGACTCATGGATGTAGATGGCCCTGCGTCTTCGGCATGCTGGAGGGGGCTGCGACATAGTGTTTACTGGCTGCCTTGCTTCACATGCATGGGTCTTTCTAATTTTCGGTTTCGAAAGATCAGTCATTGCAGTTTTTCAGTCGTTTGAAGATTCCTTTTTTGTTCATGATGCAAAGATGTGGGACGTTGGTGCTCTGACATCGAGAGAGTCGTGCCCCTTCCTGCTTTGCGCCTGTTCCGATCCCGCGAACGAACATCGGTGCCTGCCGGCTGTCCTTGCGGCCTTGGGTCAAGAGAATCGTTCTTTCATGTTTTGAGTGCAGAATGCGTCAGATACCTTGATGGTCATGGAACCGTCACAAGTGAGCACGAACTACCGTATCACAAGCTTTGAGATGACATTTCAGCATAACCATCTCCTTTCGTGCGATTCACACATCGAAGGGTGTATCTGACGGCTCGAGCATACGATTCAATGCTATCCTTTGGTGGCTATTGGGCTCTGTGAGGAGCTAGAGCATGCTTGACATTGATTATGTTCGCTTCTTTGGTAGCCGTCACCGTGGCCCGTTTTATGAAGAGCAGGGAGAGTTTGGTAGTGTAGCTGAAGACACACACACACACATCAAGTCTGAGCGTGAGGCCCACAGTCCAATGAGCTTCGACAAGGACTCAGTCTTTGGTGTTTGCTTTGTCATTTCAACAGGAATCAAAGGCTGCCATTCCACAAGCTGCCCATATTCTTTCCGTCTCCAGCGCTCAAGGCAGTTTCGGCAGGTCCTTGTGGCATTCATCGCCCGCTCATTTTCGCGCAAAAAGGCGGACGTGCTTTATGGTGCTCCTGGAGTCAAAATTCAACCACAGGGGACCGTAGGTTTTGGTCCATGTTTTTCCCGAAAGCATGGCGAAGGGTTCTTCCGCTGGGTTCACTTGAGTTGTTCTCATGAGAGTCATTACAAGGTGTCATTGCAAGGAATCATCATCATGAAAGTCAATGCAAGGAGTCATTGCAAGGAGTCATTGCAAGGAGTCATTGCAAGGAGTCATTGCAAGGAGTCATTGCAAGGAGTCATTGCAAGGAGTCATTGCAAGGAGTCATTGCAAGGAGTCATTGCAAGGAGTCATTGCAAGGAGTCATTGCAAGGAGTCATTGCAAGGAGTCATTGCAAGGAGTCATTGCAAGGAGTCATTGCAAGGAGTCATTGCAAGGAGTCATTGCAAGGAGTCATTGCAAGGAGTCATTGCAAGGAGTCATTGCAAGGAGTCATTGCAAGGAGTCATTGCAAGGAGTCATGAGAGTCATTGCGAGCTGCGCATGGAGTCAAGTGCAAGTTGCAAGTGCAAGGAGTCAAGTGCAAGTTGCAAGTGCAAGGAGTCAGGTGCAAGTTGCAAGTGCATGGAGTCAAGTGCAAGTTGCAAGTGCATGGAGTCAAGTGCAAGTTGCAAGTGTAAGGAGTCGAGTGCAAGTTGCAAGTGCAAGGAGTCAAGTGCAATTGACTTGCGAGGAGTTAAAATCTCTTCTTAGGGCGGCGGGGTAGTGCCGACGACACTACACGAAAATCGACCCTCTGCGGGGATCGGCGTGGTCGAGGTGCAAAAACCCATGGTTTTTTGCGATTTCTAACATGCTCGCGCGACCCTCTGCGGGGATCGGCGTGGTCGAGGTGCAAAAACCCATGGTTTTTTTGCCATTTCTGCGCTGCTCGCGCGACCATCTGCGGGGATCGGCGTGGTCGAGGTGCAAAAACTCGAGGTTTTTTGCGAGCGACCCTCTGCGGGGATCGGCGTGGTCGAGGTGCAAAAACATGCGATTTCTTGCGCGACCCTCTGCGGGGATCGGCGTGGTCGAGGTGCAAAAACTCGAGGTTTTTTGCGACTTTCTGTCTCGGTTGCTCGCGCTCCCGGAACCGGCGGGTCGCGGGTTCGATTCCTCCCTGGTCCGCGGGCGGGCGTCGCAAGATGCAACTTGCATTTTAAAGCAACTTGCGCAGAGCAACTTGCGCAGAGCAAGTTGCACAGAGCAACTTGCGCAGACCAACTTGCACCGACCAGTTTGCGCAGAGCGCCTTGCCTAGAGCAACTTGCGCAGAGCAACTTACGCAGAGCAACTTGCACAGAGCAACTTGCAGGGAGCGCAATTTGCACAGAGCAACTTGCAGGGAGCCACTTGCAGGGACCAACTTGCCGGAGCAACTTGCGCGGAGCAACTTGCGCAGAGCAACTTGCACAGAGTGCAACTTGCGTAGAGCAACTTGCGCAGACCAACTTGCACCGACCGGTTAGCGCAGAGCACCTTGCCTGGTGCTGTCTCGCGCTTGCTTCACAAATGCTTCGTGTAGGGAAAAAGAACGCATCCTGCAGCGTTGGGCCGACCTCGCTTGCGATGTTCTGCTTTCGGGCCAACCGTGGTCTAGTTATTTGCCAGGGATCCATGTTGGGTACCTTTTTTTGACCCACACCCAGCTGTTTTCGCGCGCAAACGCTGCATTCAAGCTGACAGCTCAATCGAAGCTTTCTCAACACTCAGACTGGCAGAGATCGATCTGCCCGCACTGCTCTCAACCAATCAGACAGATGTTATTGTCGCTTGTTTCCAGTCGCGCTTGTTGAGTGTAGCTCTTCCTTCCAACACCGTTCTCAATCTGAGTGCTGCTAGCCTTTCTTGCATGCATGCAGGTTGTTCAGTAGCTGAGGCACAGACAAGGCAAACGTTGCTCTTCCAGCTACTCTTTTGGCAGGCTGCAGGTGTGTGGACCATTGGTGCGAAACAAAAGGAGTGCCAAGGAATGCCGAGTTGGGGTACATCCAGCAACTCTTGCTTTGGGCTCGGAGCATTTTGCAGCGCACCCAATTTTCAGTGCCGGAGCCTCAGTTGCAAACGGTCCAAGGCAAGCCGCAGCCACCATTTTGACGTGTCCCAAAAAAAAGGCAAACCCCTCTGGTGAATGCGAGTTTGGGGGAGGGGGGAGTTTTTGGCGGGCTTGTCCTTTTGGTTGGCATAAGGGAGCTGACACCATCTCTAGGGTGTTTTTTGGGTCCCTTCAGCACCCCCGCCCCTACGTCATTGGCGTGTTCCCCTTCAATCTGCTGTGAGCCCCGTGGGAAATCGATTCCTGAGGTCCCTCGCCGCGAGCCATGGACGGAGGCAAGTGGACGAATCGCTCAGATTTTTTGCTTCGAGTTTTTTGTTCTTCTCCATTTTCCGACATGGCTGTGGGTCAAAACCAATGGGATCCCATTTTGGGGTAGATGCACCACCCATTTTAGTCTATTTTAGTGGTTGGATTGGGATGTTCGCTGGGGGTACGGGCTGTTGACCCATGGCCACATGGGGATTCGCGTCGACTGGCTTGGAGCAGCTCTCTTGATCCATTTGCATTTGAAGGATTGGCGACTGTCCAATCGCTTGGGATGGCTGAAGTTGCCGTCTGTAACTGAACTGGATATGGCCTGTGAGAGGTGAAGGGGGGGCATCCCTGTTTTCGGACGGCCCACTGCTCTGTACTCCCATGCCTTTTGGCCATAGCTCATCCAATCTGCCAACAGCTGGAGTTCGGTGATGGCCAGTCTTCTGACTTTGTCAGAAGCCGAGCTTCAGCGCTGGCCAGGCATGGCGTTTGTGCTGCCCAGCGGCCACACCCAGCAGGCCAAGCCAGTTGCGGCTCTCGCGGAGGTTGCAGGGCCCGCCAGGCGCGACCATTCGCGCGCTTGGGGTTTGGCGCTAAAAAACCTTGAAGGATGAGTGGCTGGGCCGAACTCTGCCAACACTGTGATTGAGCAGGAAGAAAGGCACATAGGGCCAGAGCAAGGCCAGCAGCCACAGATCCGCTGGCAAGCACGCCAGCGGTGGCGGCGGCAGCAGCAGCAGGTCAGCAGCAGGTCAGCAGCAGGTCAGCAGCAGGTCAGCAGCAGGTCAGCAGCAGGTCAGCAGCAGGTCAGCAGCAGGTCAGCAGCAGGTCAGCAGCAGGTCAGCAGCAGGTCAGCAGCAGGTCAGCAGCAGGTCAGCAGGAGACGGCTGCATCAGGGTGGGTGGGTTTGTCCCTTTGGGCCCGGTTGGGACGAGAGGAGACTGACTGCGACTGCACCGCATCCATCGCCCAGGGCTGCTGGCGGCCTGTCCCTTGCGGGCACCGCGAGCGCGGGCTGCGCCCTGGCCTTCGCCGCGCGCGCCGTGGGCCGCGGCCGCCGCGCGGTGAACCGAAAGGCGCGGAAGGTGGCGCTGAAGGCGTCCACTGTGGACCAGCTGAAGCAGGCGGGGGCTCAGTGGGCAGAAGATTCATCAGTTTGAAGCGGCTCACGCTGGCGGCTCATGCTGGCACGCCTTTTTGGTGTCAAAGCGTGGTTGTCTGCGTTTTCTTTGTATGACTTGGCTTGCGGAGTGTGAGGTGGGTGGCAAGGAGGGCAGCATCCCGCTGGACAGGTACCGCAACATCGGCGCCTCGCTTCAGCAGGGAAAGGTGCAGAGTCTTGTTTGTCTATACGTTAGGGACTGTTTTGAGCCAAAAAAAACAAACACATTGTTTCCGAACATTGCATCAGATAAGATGAGCTTGGAGGGACGGAGCGACCTGTAGGAAGGTTGGACATATGGAGAGTTGAGTGAAGATGAGTTTAGGTATCATGGCGCACATCGACGCGGGTAAGACGACCACCACTGAGCGCGGCTTGGCTGAGGGCGGATTAAGAGCAGCGGAAGGGCATTGCGAGGACGAACCCACAAGCAACAATGCCAAGACAACCTCATCTCAGTTAGCTTCCAATGTCTGCGGAGCTTGTCATTGCGGGACTTGTGTTGTCTCTGCACTTTGGGAGCCAACTGGTGAACCACTCTTGGTCCAGGGCATCATGCCGATGAAGGACGTTTAACAGAGTGCGAGCCAATTGTTTGAGAAATTCCAACCGCTGTGCATGAGGCATCCTTTATTACACCGGCCGCGAGACGAGAATTGGCGAGGCGGGAAGCAAGAGTGAGAGAGTAGGAGAGAGCAAGCGAAAAAAACTCGAGAGCGAGCGCGAGAGGGAGAGAGCGAGAGAGAGAGAGAGAGAGAGAGAGCCAGCGAGCGAGAGAGAGAGAGAGAGATAGAGAGAGAGAGGGAGAAACAAACACAAGAGACGCATGGAAAAGAGCCTCAAAGAGTGGTTTTCCGCGCAATCGGCAAGCTGGATTCTTCTCCTCACACTTCACGGGTGCCATCGTGCCAAGCCGCTGATGACCAGTTGTCTCAAAATGAGGAGTCCTGGAAAATGATTGGCATCCTTTCAGTTTTCTCGTACAACCAATCGAGTCAAAGGGATCCAACAAAAGCATCCCAAAGCCAGGCATTTTGAGCCGCGTCTTGTCAACTCCAGCGAAAGGTGCACGAGGGCCAGGCGACCATGGACTGGATGGAGCAGGTGTGAATTGATCTCAAGGGACCTGGAAGACTTGGTTCCATTTACAGAAGCCTTTTGGGAGCTTCCATATTAGTCTGAGTGGAAAGGCGGAAGGTCCATTGGAACACGTTGCCACATGTTTTTTTTCCCCCCACGCAGGAGCAGGAGCGCGGCATTACGATCACCAGCGCCGCCACCACGGCGTTCTGGAACGACCACCGGGTGAACATCGTGGACACCCCAGGCGACGAAGGGCGGGGGGCGATCATTGGTTAAGGACGCGAAGGATGTGGCAAAGACAGGGGACGGCTGGTTTGGCGGGTTTTGAGGGGACACAGGCATTTGTTGGAGGTCCAAATCCTAAACAAGGAACCACACCCAACGCTCAAAAGATTGGGCTCAAAGGTTGGGGAAATGAGTCGAACCGTGCCACTTGGTTCACTTAGGTCACTTGGGTGTGGCTCAAAATTCAAGAGCTACGGTTACGCAGGTTTTAGTCTTTGGTTCCATTTACCTTTAGGTGCCATTTTGGTACCACTTTTTTGAGCCACAGCCACTTGGGCCACTTGGGCCATTCGGGTCACTTGGGTGTCACTTCGGTCACTTGGTCTGTTGCTGAGTTGTTCACTTCGGCCAGCCGGAGTGACTCAACTAACCCACACCCAGGTGACCTTAGTGATGACATCCGCTTCACTGGCCCATGAGAGTTTTGCAAGTAAACGTTGTGGTGGAGAGAGCACGCCAGTAGTCCGCAGCGAGCCTTTGCAATTTTCTTGTTTGGTCTCGAAAAACAGAAGGCCCAACAATGGCCACGCCCCCGGCTTTTGAGTAGCGCATGGGTATGCAAGCCTTAGCTCGCGGAACAGCAGTGCGTGCATGTCTTGTTTGAAACCTGGGCGCAAACGTGTGCATTTAGGAGTGGAGAATGCTCCGAGGGGCCACAGAGATACCGAAGGCAAACATTGCTTTCAGGGTGATTAAGCAACCGACCTCCGCACACTTTCATGTAAGTCTTGGTTCCCAGACTGCTCGAATGCATCATTTGAACCTGAGAGTGTCTGTTTTCTTGCGGCCGGATGCTTGGGGAGCTGCAGCTTTCCTTTTGCCCACGCAGCGTAAGTGTGTTTGGCTCCGTAAGTGTGCCATGCCCCAAGTGGGCGCGGGTGAAACATGGGGCAACCCCAAAATGGAACCCTACTGGAGCATGCACTACAACCTGTGGTTTTGCTGGTTGAATATTGACCCGTACCCAAGTGCTGGAACTATCCGCCACAACTTCTAGGACCAAAGGAGCTTTGCCCATCCCTCATCCCAGATGGGTGTGGGTCAAAATCCAAATCGTACCCCCAGTGAACATCCCAACCCCCACTAAGACAGGTTCGAAAATGGGTGATGAATTCACCTACCAACCAAAATGGGATCGCAAAACGGTTTTGACCACCACAGCCAGATCGTCACGAAATCCGCATCTCACGAACTCCGCGTTCGCTGGTCCGGTTGTCCGGGGGCCACACCTTTCAAAACCTACTTAGGAACCATGTGGCTGTGGGTCAAAAATGGGGTAACCCCAAAGTGGCTTGCCCTGGTAAATGGAACCAACGACTAAAACCTGCAGTCCCCTGGTGGTTTAATTTTGACCCATACCCAGGTTGCTAGAGGTGTGCAGTCATAGGTGTCCTTTTTGGTTGATTTGGTTGAAAAATAGAGGGCCCTGGTTTACCTGGTGGCTCAATCAACTACCAGGACCATCTATTTTCCCAAAAATGACACCTATGTTTGCAGTGAGTCCATACTTAAATGGAAACACCGACCCCACGAACCAACAAACCTACACCGATGGCTGCAGTTGCTGCGGCGAGTTGTCCACAAACTTGTCACCGCGTCTTCCTCCCGATCTTTTGATGCCATAAAGCATGTCTGTGTGTGTGTGTGTGTGTGTCTGTCTGTCTGTGTCTGTGCCTGTGCCTGTGTCTGTGTCTGTGTCTGTGTCTGTGTCTGTGTGTGTCTGTGTGTCTGTCTGTCTGTGTGTGTGTGTGTCTGTGTGTCTGTGTCTGTCTGTCTGTCTGTCTGTTTGTGTGTCTGTCTGTCTGTCTGTCTGTCTGTCTGTCTGTCTGTCTGTCTGTCTGTCTGTCTGTCTGTCTGTCTGTCTGTCTGTCTGTCTGTCTGTCTGTCTGTCTGTCTGTCTGTCTGTCTGTCTGTCTGTCTGTCTGTCTGTCTGTCTGTCTGTCTGTCTGTCTGTCTGTCTGTCTGTCTGTCTGTCTGTCTGTCTGTCTGTCTGTCTGTCTGTCTGTCTGTCTGTCTGTCTGTCTGTCTGTGTGTGTGTGTGTGTGTGTGTGTGTGTTTGTGATGGTCTGTGTGTTTCTGTCTGTCTGTGTGTGCGTGTGTGTCTGTGTGTCTGTGTGTGTGTGCTTGTTTATATATATATATTATATCTATACACACATGTGTGATTGTTTACACATTCCATGTCAACCCATACCTTTTTCCGAGTGACGCAATTTTGACACAGCAAGTCTTCCGGACGTTTCCAGCGGCAGCTTGGGGCATTTCCAGGCCACGTGGACTTCACCCTGGAGGCGCTTCGCTTGCGCTCCGAGATGTCGATATCGCCGGTGGCGGGTTCTTCTGAGGATGGTTTACAGCCCCCAAACCACTCGCCCTATTTGCAGCATGCGATGGGTGTGGAAACCACCTGCTTTTGTAACCACCACATACAGGGTAAGTCTGATCCTCGGGGTGGAAACCGCCTCTCATTCTTGGGGTTCCATGTTTCGAAAACTTGGAGTATGCCTTGAAAGCAAAAAGCCGATGAAAGCCCAGTGCAAAACGCCGCTGAACGCAAAAGCAAACAACCACCTGCTTCTATAACCACTCTAAACACGGCAAATCTGATCCTCGGTGTGGTGGAAACCACCTGAGCCGCAATCGGAACCCGGGTAGATGAAGGTTAGTAAGGGGCAGTCCCAGCCCGAAATAGTTACGGCCGCCTTCTTAATTCTTGAGGCATGGTTCTGGGATTACGACCATTTTACTACCGGGTTTTCAGTGTGACTCACCGCTGGTTCTGGGCCTTGAAAGCAAAAGCAAACAAAAGCCCTGTAGTGGAAATCGCCACCTCTGATTCTGGGGGTGTAGTACTGGAACCACCTGCTTCTATAGCCAAAATATACAGGGGAAATCTGATTCCCGGTGTGGTGGAAACCACCTCTGATTCTACGACCAAAAGAAACAGCGGGTAAATCTGATTCTCGGGGTAGTGGAAACTGCCCTCTGATTCTGGGCTCACTCGCGGGCCAAAGGTGGAGCGATCCCTGCGGGTCCTCGACGGCGCCGTGGCGGTCTTCGACGGAGTCGCTGGCGTGGAGCCGCAGACGGAGACCGTCTGGCGCCAGGCCGGGGGTGGAAGGGGCCGAGTGGAGGGGCGACAAAGCGCAACACGGGGGAAGCAGGGCCTTGAATTCCATTTCTTTTTCATGTTTGTTTTTAAAATAAGTTGTGCCTGTTTCATAGGTTGTTTTTGCTTTTTGCCTGTTTCGTGTTGACTGCCTTTGGCTTTGGAGTGGATTTCAGAAGTTCCTGTTGCATTTAGCCTGTTTGGTGTTGACTTTTGCGCCCTTTTACTGGCTTTCTTGGGGAAAGAGTGCAAAAGGTATCCACCACAAGCTGGCCCCTTGCCAAGCAATTCTTCTGGCAAAGAGGGCTAAAATGCTGCAGAAGGGACATGAAGAGTGGCTTCGATCAGGGTTCCATTTGGTCAGCTTCCATTCATCCTTCAATTTGCCACAGACCTCAAGCCACAACCAATGGCACATTTCATCCACCGCTTGCAGCCAGGCTGACAAGTACAAGGTGCCGCGCATGTGCTTCGCAGCTCGGGGGCAATGCTCGGCAATGCTGCGTTTGAAACTGTATATTATGCGCCTAAGTGTAGTCTATAGCAGTTTGTGCGCTACAATATGCATGTATCGACAAATACGTACGCGCACTTGCAGTGGAATTATTTGTATGCTCGCGCCTGGCAGTTCAAATCTTTGGGCAGGAAGTTCTGAGAGGCGTCTGAAGCAGGCTAACTCTTCCGAGCACTTGGTTACCAAAACGGGGTGAAGAAAAGATGTGGCTGACGCAATTTCCACTGACTCTACTGCTGACCCCCTCCCTACAGGCAGGCGACTCATGGCGGTGTGACTAGGTCACACGTACGTCCACACGTGCGCGTGTATGCAAGCGGGACACATGCCTTCACACGTATGCAATTTTGCTTGATTGATAGATTGCTTGCTTGCTGGCTGGCTGGCTTGCTTGCTTGTTTGCTTGCTTGCTTAGACGGGCTCCTTACGTACGCACATCGCATGTTGGTATTGTTGCGTTTACCTCAACTGTGTGATCACACAGGTTGATCTTCTGAATGGTGATTATTGCCTGGGGATAGAGGGATTTTGCTACCACCCAGGCTTTTCAGCAATGAGTCCACTCCATACATTGTTCTCAACGTTGACCAGTGCCAGAAGAGAACTTGCCAGCTGCCTCGTTCAAAGGGCAGCACAGCGTCTGTCGCAAACCTTCTAAAAGTTATGTACAGGACCTAGAAGGCATTGACCCCTTTCCTCCTGGTTATGTTCAACAAGCAAGCAAGCAGGCAGGCAGGCAGGCAGGCAAGCAAGCCGGCAAGCAAGGAAGGAAGCAAGGAAGAAAGGAAGCAAGGAAGGGAGGAAGCAATGAAGGAAGGGAGGGAGGGAGGGAGGGAGGGAGCGAGGCGACGCGAAGGAGCGGGAGGGAGGGAGGGAGGGAGCGAGGGAGGGAGGGAGGGAGGGAGGAATGAAGGAAGGAAGGCACAGCATGCGTATTTGGCACAGCCGACTAGAAGCACATGCTGGGCATAGATGTGCCTCCCGTTTAAGCAACGGTTCAATCCTGATTTGTCATTGAGTGCTTACTCTTTCGCAGACCGTCACGCCTTTGAGCTTTGCAGCCAGACATGTTTTGTTTCCGGTGAGGGCTGTGAGTCGGCCCGACTTCCATTGCTCCAAGGTCAACAAGATGGACCGCGAGGGTGCGGACTTCTACAAGGCACGAGTTCCAGTACCTGCGTGGCCAGTCGCAAGATTTAAAGGTTACTAAGCTGTTTTCCTGCCAGGAACTTCCTGTAACCCAACCGTTTCAAAGATGCAACGTCGGAGGCGCTAGTAGTTCCGTTTTCCTGCAACGTACTGAGATGTTGATACTGGAGGAGGCGTCAGGGAGAATGGTCTGCTAAAGAACACCGCGACGGACAGCCAAGTAGTGCAACACTGCATGGGAGAAGAGCGAGTCCGTGCATACTGTATCCGGCATTGTCCATTTTGTGTCTCGCAGCGTGCAATGAGGGATGTTTGCCTCGTGCTTCAACTTGAGTTTCGGAGAAGTTGTTTGTCAGCCCCTCCTGAAGGGTGTTGCTGGCCCGCTGTTGGCATGCTTTCGTTGAGTGCTCAAGTGAAAAACGCACGCTGTCCGCAAAGTGTGTTTTCTTTTGCAGTGCGATTATCACACAACTTGTAGCTTGCTTTTCGCAGCAATGTGCAATGGCACTGTGCGCAGAAGTATGCAAAGCGGTATCTAGACCAGCTATTCATTTCTTCGTTATGCTGGAGCCCCACTGTATGTTTTTGCCACAGGATGTGCAGATGATGGTGGACCAGTTGGGCACAAACCCTGTGCCCATCCAGCTTCCCATTGGCAAGGCAGAAAGAGAGCGAGAAAGAAAAAGCGAGAGAGAGAGAGAGAGAGAAAGAGAGAGAGAGAGAGAGAAAGAGCGAGAGAGAAACAGCGAGAGAGAGAGAGAGATAGAGAGAGATAGAGAGGGCTGTCTTTCGCAGCCGACAAGCCACGAGTTCGGAAGAAGGCAGTGGGCTTTATCACCGGCATCTGGCAACAAACCCTATTTTGTTGCTACCTTTATTCCTCAAGCGGGAACAACCTATTTCTATTCAATAGTGTTTGTTTTACTTAAGGCGATGTATTGTTTTCCATATCACAAGTATCAATTAGATTGACAACACTTTTTCACCGTCATTAGAGTTTTAGTGAACCGTGTCTATGACTGCATAGCAACATATTGATCTCACTTATTCCAGCTTTAAGACTATCAGATCCATGTACTCAGTTTGCATCTATAGATTCCGCCAAATCCCTGGTATAGTACTTTTCAAAGCTTTCTTAGGGTCTTTGCACCAATAATACGTTCATTTTTAGCTATTGTATCTATGCCTTTTGTGTGCTTGTTCCGATGCAAATCTTGCTCATTGGTCGTTGGGCTGCTCAAAAATCGTGACCAGCGGCGGGAGATTCAGTCAAAATCCATGTTTGGAAACGAGCATGAATCACCAGCAACTGCAAGCAGCCATCGATACCAAATGACGAAACTCCAGCCAGCAACAGCCTAACAACAAGCCACAGGCAATGATCAAAATGGCTTTGGTTGATGCTCTAACACTGAGATAGAGGAGGGCCAAATTCTGGTTTCCTTTTGGTTCCCTTTAAAACAAACCTGAGCCGGACACGCTCAAAAACACGAGCCCAGATATTGTTCCTGCGGGACAAAGCTTGACTGCTTGAGCCGTTGCGTTTTGCCGCTGGACCTCGATGCGCTAGGCGGGGACGTTTAAGGGCGTCTATGATCTCGTCGAAATGAAGTCCTACATCTGGACCGGTGAGGAGCGAGCCTCAGGGAGCCTCAGGAAAAAGAAGCGCAAGTACCCGGCTTGATGCTGCTGGTCGAAGTCCATTTCGCACCACCTAAGAAACCTTGGTTTCGGATGATTCCCCTGTAAGTACCAACAAACAATGGTTTCACATGGTTTCAGAGTGGTGCGGGATTGCGTCCATCCACAGTAGCGCGACGTCGGATCAACTTTACCACTCCGCCCTGCCAAATGAAGCGATCGGTTCTATTTGACTGAGACTTTCATGGAAACAGCAGAAGATCCTGCACTTGATGTTCTTCCGGGGTTTGACACGAATCGCCTTTCTGAATGCTTTTGTAGCGAGAGGCGAGAGTGTACGAAGGCGAATCAAGGCATCAGATGGATTTGTTTGAGTCTGACGAGCTCCGATGGCTTCACGAACTGGCGCGTGGTTCGCTTCTCATCTGGTTCTGTCACAAGTCAGCTTGGCATCCATGGACTCTTACGCCTGACTCCGAGCTTGGAGCCGTCCGCGTCGCAGCCGCTTCCATCGCGAGGAACTTGGCGCCAACTACGACGTCACGGACGACATCCCGGAGGGCATCTCGGCGATTGACCGACCGCTTTTTTTTTGGCGGCCAGTGTGAATGTCTTGTTGTCACGAGTCCATACCGAGTGGCACGCCAAGACTGGGAGGGAGGGCATCTTTTCACAGCCACCCAACAGCCACACTGCCAGCTGCCGAAGGCCCACCTGTCACCCTTGTTATTACTTTAGAGCCTCCGGCTCAGTCCGCCGACATTGTCCTCTCCCTTTTCTCCTTCTTCCTCTCTTCCTTGTCTCCCTTGTGTGTTCTGTCGTCCTCTCTCCCTCCCTCTGCTCCCATCCTCCCCATCCCCCCAAGCCTCTCTCTCCCCACTCTCCCTCTCTCGTATGTATGCATGCATGTACATGTATGTATGTATGTATGTATGTATGTATGTATGTATGTATGTATGTATGTATGTATGTATGTATGTATGTATGTATGTATGTATGTATGTATGTATGTATGTATGTATGTATGTATGTATGTATGTATGTATGTATGTATGTATGTATGTATGTATGTATGTATGTATGTATGTATGTATGTATGTATGTATGTATGTATGTATGTATGTATGTATGTATGTATGTATGTATGTATGTATGTATGTGTATGTATGTATGTATGTATGTATGTATGTATGTATGTATGTATGTATGTATGTATGTATGTATGTATGTATGTATGTATGTATGTATGTATGTATGTATGTATGTATGTATGTATGTATGTATGTATGTATGTATGTATGTATGTATGTATGTATGTATGTATGTATGTATGTATGTATGTATGTATGTATGTATGTATGTATGTATGTATGTATGTATGTATGTATGTATGTATGTATGTATGTATGTATGTATGTATGTATGTATGTATGTATGTATGTATGTATGTATGTATGTATGTATGTATGTATGTATGTATGTATGTATGTATGTATGTATGTATGTATGTATGTATGTATGTATGTATGTATGTATGTATGTATGTATGTATGTATGTATGTATGTATGTATGTATGTATGTATGTATGTATGTATGTATGTATGTATGTATGTATGTATGTATGTATGTATGTATGTATGTATGTAATGTAATGTATGTAATGTAATGTAATGTAATGTAATGTAATGTAATGTAATGTATGTAATGTATGTAATGTAATGTAATGTAATGTAATGTATGTAATGTATGTATGTAATGTATGTAATGTAATGTATGTAATGTAATGTATGTAATGTAATGTATGTAATGTATGTATGTAATGTATGTAATGTAATGTAATGTATGTATGTAATGTAATGTATGTATGTATGTATGTAATGTATGTATGTATGTATGTATGTATGTATGTATGTATGTATGTATGTATGTATGTATGTATGTATGTATGTATGTATGTATGTATGTATGTATGTATGTATGTATGTATGTATGTATGTATGTATGTATGTATGTATGTATGTATGTATGTATGTATGTATGTATGTATGTATGTATGTATGTATGTATGTATGTATGTATGTATGTATGTATGTATGTATGTATGTATGTATGTATGTATGTATGTATGTATGTATGTATGTATGTATGTATGTATGTATGTATGTATGTATGTATGTATGTATGTATGTATGTGTATGTAATGTATGTATGTATGTATGTATGTATGTATGTATGTATGTATGTATGTATGTATGTATGTAATGTATGTATGTATGTATGTATGTATGTATGTATGTATGTATGTATGTATGTATGTATGTATGTATGTATGTATGTATGTATGCATGTATGTATGTATGTATGTATGTATGTATGTATGTATGTATGTATGTATGTATGTATGTATGTATGTATGTATGTATGTATGTATGTATGTATGTATGTATGTATGTATGTATGTATGTATGTATGTATGTATGTATGTATGTATGTATGTATGTATGTATGTATGTATGTATGTATGTATGTATGTATGTATGTATGTATGTATGTATGTATGTATGTATGTATGTATGTAATGTATGTATGTATGTATGTATGTATGTATGTATGTATGTATGTATGTATGTATGTATGTATGTATGTATGTATGTATGTATGTATGTATGTATGTATGTATGTATGTATGTATGTATGTATGTTGTATGTATGTATGTATGTATGTATGTATGTATGTATGTATGTATGTATGTATGTATGTATGTATGTATGTATGTATGTATGTATGTATGTATGTATGTATGTATGTATGTATGTATGTATGTATGTATGTATGTATGTATGTATGTATGTATGTATGTATGTATGTATGTATGTATGTATGTATGTATGTATGTATGTATGTATGTATGTATGTATGTATGTATGTATGTATGTATGTATGTATGTATGTATGTATGTATGTATGTATGTATGTATGTATGTATGTATGTATGTATGTATGTATGTATGTATGTATGTATGTATGTATGTATGTATGTATGTATGTATGTATGTATGTATGTATGTATGTATGTATGTATGTATGTATGTATGTATGTATGTATGTATGTATGTATGTATGTATGTATGTATGTATGTATGTATGTATGTATGTATGTATGTATGTATGTATGTATGTATGTATGTATGTATGTATGTATGTATGTATGTATGTATGTATGTATGTATGTATGTATGTATGTATGTATGTATGTAATGTATGTATGTAATGTATGTATGTATGTATGTATGTATGTATGTATGTATGTATGTATGTATGTATGTATGTATGTATGTATGTATGTATGTATGTATGTATGTATGTAATGTATGTATGTATGTATGTATGTATGTATGTATGTATGTATGTATGTATGTATGTATGTATGTATGTATGTAATGTATGTATGTATGTATGTATGTATGTATGTATGTATGTATGTATGTATGTATGTATGTATGTATGTATGTATGTATGTATGTATGTATGTATGTATGTATGTATGTATGTATGTATGTATGTATGTATGTATGTATGTATGTATGTATGTATGTATGTATGTATGTATGTATGTATGTATGTATGTATGTATGTATGTATGTATGTATGTATGTATGTATGTATGTATGTATGTATGTATGTGTATGCATGTATGTATGTATGTATGTATGTATGTATGTATGTATGTATGTATGTATGTATGTATGTAATGTATGTATGTAGTGTATGTATGTAAGTAAGTAAGTAGTAGTAAGTAAGTAAGTAAGTAAGTAAGTAAGTAAGTAATGTAATGTAAGTAAGTAATGTAATGCATGTAATGTATGTACGTATGTATGTATGTGTGCATGCATGCATGCATGCATGCATGCATGCTTACATACATGTATGCATGTATGTATGTATGTAATGTATGTATGTATGTAATGTCATGTAATGTCATGTAATGTAATGTAATGTAATGTACTGTATGTATGTATGTATGTATGTATGTATCCTTGCACTTCCCCTTTGCTCCCCAGTATTTCCCGCAAAAAAAACACGGTTTTTCCAGCGTTTTCGCAAAGAGGACGTCCAAAAACATTGAGTTTTTCCAGATTTTCGGCAAAAGGATGCAGGAAGCCCAAGCCAGCAAAAAAGCCGGCAGGGGGAATCGAGCCTGGGACCCCTGTTTTGCGACACCGGCTCCCCGAAGACTACGTTTAGTGGAACGTCATCAAATTGCCGCGCGGTACGTGGGGGACCCCCCCCCCCCCCAAAAACCTACGTAATAGACGTCGGGCGGGGGGGGGTTAGGGGGGGGGTTATCCTCTATCCTCTAGTAAGTATCCGACACGCCGAGCAATGTCGGCGGACTTTGATTCCGCCAGATGTTGCTTGTGGAAAGGCCACCAGCCAGGGCTCTTGGCCAGTTCATTCTCTTGGCAGGCGCTTCCACATCTGCCTTTCTTTCTCCTGAATGCGTGCGCCAGATCTGCTACGGCTCCGAATGTGTGAGTCGTGTAGGCATGGAGGAAGATGTGGAGAAGTGGCGCGAGAACCTCATCGAGAAGGCGGTCGAGCAGGACGAGGAGGCAGGACATGGCAATTTCTCAAAGAGGCATCCGGAAAAAACCAAACCGACCCCCTCCCCCCCTTGCATCCGGAATCTGGAAAAACAAGACAACTGCACCCCTTTTTCCCCCCTTTCCCCAGCCATGCCGGACAAGCCGGCCCCCCTTTTCGTGGCTACGAGCTTGGCTTGCTTGGGCTTGGGCTTGGCAGCGAGGGACGCTCCTCGCGCTCCCGTCACTCGCGGGGCGCCAGGTCCTGGAGGCCTACTTGGAGAGCGGGGAGTCCCCCAGCACCGAGCAGATCAAGGAGTGCCTCCGCAAGGCGCCGGTCGCGTCTGCTTCTCCGAGTCTTCGGCTGTTTTTTCTTTTTTTCTTTTTCGTCTCTGGTTTTGTTTTTTTCGGCCGGAGACCTCGGGAGTTTTTGTTGTTGTTATTGTTGAAATAAATTCTCAGGTGGTGAGTCGCAAAATCAGAACTTGTTTTGTTGCGATTATTGGGTTCTTTTCGGCCGGAGACATTGGGAGATGGTTTTTACAAATCTTCAGGTGAGCTCACCAGAAGAATGCTTGGTACATGAAGGCGAGGGGGAACCCGGAGCTTCAGACCGGCCACTTGCTCAAAGACCCGAAACTGATTCGGGTGGAAGGGTCATCCCAAGCTTTTCATTGGGTGCAGCCGCCTTTATGATTCTTTACATGGTTCTGGGTAGACCATAAGTTTTGAAGTATGACTCAGGTTTCTTTGTTCCGGTTGCATAATTTAACTGGAACATTATGTTCTCCGTGTATCTTCAATTCCTTGCAACTGTTTCCTCGACTGCGCTCCTTGGTTGGCCAGCGGCCAGGGGACCTTGTCCTTCAGCCTGGTGCCGGTTCTCTGTGGCTCCGCCTTCAAGAACAAGGCGCTTACGGCTCTGAGTCTGCCGTTTTGTGAGTCATAAGCGCCTTAGGTTCTTTTGGTCTCGTACCCAGGAGGTGTCACTCAGTCCCGAAGTATCAAGGAGACTGAAGGAAACATGATGGCCCGGAGACGGTACTACTTTATAGTTTCTTCGACTCTGGGTTGCTCAAGTGGTGTTGGGATGTGCCATGTCCTCAATCTTTGCTGTGCAAATGAGTAGGCACCTCAGGTGGGGATTTTCACTGCAACTCTTATTCCCTACGGTAACGTGCACGGAGTGGATGCACAAAGCGGTGCTTGACACATTTGAAGGTACAAATGCACCCTTGGCATCAAGCGAAATGGTACTCAGCCATTGTATTTCAGGGAAAGTGGCGAACAACCCTTATTTGGTGGTTTGGATTGGCGGCCCATTTATCCCCTACAAGAATCAGGGGTTGAAATCCTCAAACCACTAATCCAAACCACCAACTAAGGATTACTTGATGCTGAGCCCTTTCAGTGAGCCCTCATTTGCAGGGGGTGCAGCCACTGCTGGACGCGGTTTGCACCTACTTGCCGTCGCCGCTGGATGTGCCGCCCACCAAGGGCAAAAACCCCAAGGATCGCGCGTGAGAGAATCTTTGTTTGAGCCGTTCGCTCCCTGAGCTCCTTTGGTTTCCTACCTCCTGCTGCAGTTGTCCTTCCCTGGCCCGCCACGTGCCAACGAATAACCGAACAGGCCTCCCTGGTCGCGCCCCGAATGGAAGGACCAGTTGTCCCTCCCCTGCACGTGCCAATGAGTTCAGGCAAATCTCCAGGCGCCACGAATTGCCAATATCAGTTGTCCCTCCCTTGGCCCACCACGTGCCAATCGAATCAAATGGCCGTGGGTCAAAACCAATGGGATCCCATTTTGGGGGATTGGTGAATTCACCAGTCATTTTAGGCTTCCTATTTTAGTGGTTGAATTGAATCGGATGTTCACTGTAGGATTTGGATCTTGATCATCGCATGGCATTTCAAATCTCCTCTGCCAAGTTGCCAGCTGACTGTGGCTCAAAAAACCGGTACCCAAAATGGAACCCTGGTAAGTGGAAACATGGGCCAAAACCTGCGGTTTGCCCCTCTGATCGTTTAATTTTGAGCCACCAGCTGAAGGATGAGGAGGAGGAGATGGTCCGAAAGGCCTCAGTGGACGAGAAGCTGTCTGGGCTCCCCGCCGAAAGAAGAGCTGTTCGATGCTCGTGGCGCCCAGTGCCGAGTGGCGTGGGCGGCGGACCCCTTTGGCATGGCATGGGTGTCCTTCTGATCGGTTGGTGTAATTAGACATAGATGGGTTGCACTGGTTTAGATTGGCTTTATTCCATGCACCATGCTCCATTTTTCCAAAAGGACGCCTCTGGACGCCTGTGCCTGTGAAACATGATCCTTCCAGTTGGGGTAGACTCATGCCAAGCTCACTCGAGAAGCTGCTCACAGCTTCGACCGAGGTTGGCCTTCAAGGTTGCGGCGGACCCCTACATCGGCACGCTGACCTTCTACCGCATCTACTCGGGCAAGGCGAGAACCGGGGAGAATCGGGAGATGCGAATCGGCCAGCGGATTTGCGCAATTTGACTTTTTGCGATCATGGGCTTTGCTGGCTTTGCTCGACCTGGGCCGGGAACATCTGGCAGAAAGATGTCAGGCCATGCCCCGCTGGGTTTGCATGCCTGTATTTGGCCTTGGCTCGCTCAAGTTGGTCAGCGCTCTCTTTTTTTTGGGCGCAAAAGAACGGCAAGGGGCGAGTGTCGAACCCCCGTGCCATGCGACAGATGCAAATGATCCATGGCTCAGGTGAAGTCAGGCGACATGGTGTGGAACCCCAGGCGCGCATACTGAACGTTTGTCCTTTGCTGAGTCGTAAGCCCGGGAGTGCAGCAACTGCTGTGTTCTTGGTCTTACAATCACTTGGCGGCTCCGGTTTAGCGGGGATTTCCATGTAACCCACTAAAAATTAAACTTTTGGCAGGGGATCTGAGGGCAGCCCAGATCAGGATTGCTGCCTGAAAGAAAACTGATTTGTTACCGTTTCACTGTTCGTTCCACCAGTCTTTGTTGTTTGCCTGGCGGATGGGGAGCAACCTTGATTCTTCTGTATTTTGAGGGCTCTTGGGCCAGCAAGAAATACATCAGTTTGGAAGCCTCGAGGCTTGGAGACCTTGCCAGCAATAGCAAGCATCACCCCTTAGGCAGGTGCTGGAGGTGCTTTTTGCGAGATGCGTTTTTGAAACATGTTGTTGCATACGTACAACATGACAACGCAACAACGCGCAGCTTTTCCCAAGGAGTCGCGCAGTGAATTCGCTTGATCAGAGGTGCAGAGAACGCTCAAGATGTTGACAATCTGGCCCTTTGTGGAGACCGCAGCTTTCAGAAGCAACTGGATTTCAAGCAGATCAACTGACCCACTGTGTTGTCGTTTGGCAGAGAGTTCTCACCACCTGTTGTGAGGATGCTTCAAAAGGGTTTCTGGACCAAGAACCCGTGGTTGTTGGCAGAGCGGTGGTACAGGAGGCCTTGTGAAGAACACCTGCAGGACCAAGTCCAAGGAGCGCTTGGGCCGCATGGTCTTGATGCACTCCAACAAGCGCGAGGAGAATCTTTTTCGGGAGAAATCTCGCGATGCGACCCGTCATGCGGAGTTTCGTCCAAGACAAGGGAAGCTCATCAAAGGTCGCGAGATCATTGCCATGACTTGGCAATCATTCAAGTCTAGCGACAGATGGGACTTGGTATTTACGAGTGAGCATCGCACACTTGTTTTGTTTGCACGTTCCATTTTGGTGTGCGTGTGTGTTTAGGCATGGGCCTGCTATGGCTGCTATGGGCTGGATGGTTCCCGTTGCGGACCTATGGCCATGTTCCTAATTCTCCCAAGCAAACGGTACCTGACCCCCAAGATTGAGGCTGTGGTTCCTTTTTTTGGGCGGTACTCCTTGTTTTGGTCTTAAAGGGAACGCGACAGGAAAACCGTCGAAGGCCATTTTGGGAGGGTCCATGAACGCTTTGAAAAAAAAACACCCATGTACGGCTCACGTAAAGTTGATATCTTTTGGAGGGGAACACCTCCAAATAAACCGGGGTTGAGAAGGGATGAGCAACATTGCAGCTGTCAACACTCGATCTTCCTCTTCCCCTTTTTTTAAGGAGATCCGGCTAATGTAAAGTTGATCCCCTCTTGGAGGAGGGGGGGAACCCTTCTGTCTTTTGTTTCCTTTTGGAGGGGGGGGCCGTGTTTTTTTTCAGGAGATCAAGGAGGCCGGGGCCGGAGACATCATCGCCATCGTGGGCCTGAAAGACACCACCACAGGCGGTCGATTTTCGGGCGGGGGGAGACCTGGAAGCTGTCAGAAGGGTTTTGGACGGGGCGATCCCTTTTTTTTTGTGGGCGGCCCCCGAAAAACGAGGACCCACTTCCATGATGGTTGGAGAGGGAGGGTATCTGTTGACACTGGTTCAGCTTTCTAGGCCGGATGGGTGCTAATGTTGGGAAGTTGTAAGGAAGCATTGTAGGCATCTTCAAGCTCACGGCACCCGTATTAGACTTCAAGATCGCCGTTTTGAAAGTTGCAACCCAACGCTGCTTTATGTAAAAAAGAGAAACATAACCAAAACACGGGCGCGAGATGCGCACGACGTTTTTCTCTCTCGTTTCTCGTGACGGCAGGCGACACCCTGTGCGCCATTGACGCCCCCATCGTGCTGGAGAAGATGGACTTCCCGGAGCCCGTGATCAAGGCGCCTGGCTGCTCGAATCCCATTGCATGCAGAGGTGAAGCAGACCGAAGCGAGAGCACTTGTTTCAAAGTGGATGGCTTCAGTCCGGAGATCCGGACCCAGGAAAATCGCAGTTTCCACTGGGACATGATCAGAAAAGACGCAGCTTGCTCAAGCGGTTCTTTTTTTGGGGGGGGGCTTGCCAGACCCCATTAAATGCCTCGCTCTGGTGAGTTCATGGAAACATGGGTCCTTGTCAGAACCTGCGGTCCCATAACCTGGGTGGTTTGTGCCAGATTGTTGGTCGAAAAGAGTTGGCAACCCGATCGGTTGGTAGCAACATGGGTCCTTATCAGAACCTGCGGAACCCGATTCCTGGTTGGATTTTGCCCCATAGAGATCGTCGTTTGCTCTCTGGCCATGACTTGGCTTCATGGGACATGGGTCCGGCACGAGGCTTTCTTTGGCCTTTTCGCAGTCTGGCACTACTTTGGATGCCGAAGAGCTCCTTTGCTTCGGCCAATTGAGGCTGCAGTGGTGCCTGCGCTTGAACGTTTGGGCTCAAGGAGAGCTTGATTGGACCCTGCTGGCCTCGCATTCAGGTCCGGCAAGGACTCAAGGACTCTTCCCAGCTTACCACCTATTGGAAACCATGGGAAACCATTGTTGGCATTTACAGGGGAATCATCCGAAACGGGTTTCTTAGTTCTTCTCACTCTTGCCACCTACCCCAACTTCCCACTTGCAACGGCCATCCGGCAATGGGCGGCAAGGGCAAAGATGGTGGCAAAGGCGGCAGGACGGACGGTGTGGGTCAAAATTAAACCACCAGGAATCGGACCACAGGTTTTTAGTCCTTGGTTCCATTTAGCAGGGCAAGCCAATTGGGGCACCTATTTTTGACCCACAGCCAGTTAAGAATTTCCTTGAGGATTGTTGCCAAAGGCTCCTGGGAACAACATGAAAAGGGCTTGGCCGTCGATTTCTTGCAGCGATGGGAGTGAACCTTGCTGTTGGTCAGACCATGCGTAACTTTCCAGTGCAGTTGAAATATCAAAAATCATTCGACTGGCTTTCCAACCGATGGTCATCCCATGTCTACCGGACCTTTTAATCACCCGAAATCATTTCCCTTGGGAGCAAAACCACTGCGAACGGGAGCGATTTCCTCGGTTCTGTGAAAGCTGATGTTGGTGGAGACGCTTGTGTCGCGCTTGTCTTGAGTTGCATGCGATACAGAATGCTGGCCGCAGGGGGCGCAAGGCCAGTTGTAGTTCGAAGCTTGGGACTCGGGTGAAGCTTTTGGCAGCTGTGATTTGTCCCACGCTGAAGCTGCCCATGCCGGAGATTGGTCGCTTGCCTTGAGACTTGTTTTCCTTGAATGCCGCCAGGTTTTGGCCCCCTTGATTTCAGCCCTCAAAGGACGGATCAACTGTGAATGAGCTCTACCCCAAAGACAGATCAGATGCCCACACCAATGGGATCAACGGAGCGCAGCTGATCCGAACTTTCTGCGGAGTAATCCCAGGCTTTTGTTGACAAAGCTCTTGCGCCTGGGTGCGTCGGAGGGATGTGTTTTTTGGATGTGTTGGTATTGGTGTGTGACAGGGCAGGTGAACAGGTGAATGCATTTGTGCAAGCCTGAATCCATTTTTTTTGGACCTCCGGTTTCGGGTGCTTTCCCTTTCAAACACAAAGGTGGTGTCAAAAAAGGCACACCCATATCAGTTCAGATACATAGGAACTTACTTACAAGTCCTTCTGGGTTTGATTTTCAGGATTGAGGGCAATTGATGGGTTCTCAGAATCGGACATCCAAATGAAGCATGCATGCTGAGCTCGTCTCACTGCAGCCATTTAGGTGGAGGCTCTGGTGACAAACCTTGGTCCAAGGTAGCATCCCCAAAAAGTTGTCGAGATCTAGTTTGCTCACTCATGTTGCAAGGAACGTTCCTTTGCAACCCCCAAAAACATGACATGCCGCTCGTTTTTGTTTTTAGTTTCTTTCTCCGCAGGAGACGATTGGATCAAGTGTGCTACAGGGGCCAGTTTCTGCCCAAGTGCAACAAGGATATCTATTTGCCGAACAGCGAGCTTCGACAGATGCGAGAGGAAGAAGCGGATCTGCTTCGACTCACCCACAAGATCGATCTCGACCGGGCCCCGGAGAAGGCGGTTTGGGGCCCGGTTGGGGTGGTTTTGGGGGTGGTTTTGGGGGTGGTTTTGGGGGTGGTTTTGGGGGGTAGGTTTGGGTGTGGTTGGGAGCTTCTTTCTTAGGATAGTTTGCTTAGAAATAGATGAGTCTCACTGGTTTAGATACCAGGGAAACCCATCTCTTCCAGTTTAGGACACCTGAGGCGCTTTGGTTCCCACTTTTTCACAGGCAAACCCTGGGTGTTCTGCCAAGTCAGTACGTTGTTAGCAACCTCGGCTATAACCCACTTATAAGACCCCCCAGGCCCCTAAGTGGGGTTAACTTTGTCAGGGGCATATGCCCCAATTGGCTGACCACTTACTAACTTGGCCGAACATCCAAGTGCTGCTAGGCCCCAGTAGTGCCCTTCTCTCCTTTTTTTGGGGGAGGGTTCCCCTACTAAAATGGATCACAGCAAAAAAAGATGGTACCCTCATTACCGGTCATGACTCAAATAGACTAAGAAGTTGGTAGCCCTACTAAAATCGACCGAGTTGCTGACAGGAAGGTCCGGAAAACCGCCGGAGGTCTGGGAGGTGCCCAAGCCCATCCAGAAGCTGGAGCAAGCCTGGGAAGCCGAGATGTGTCGGCTCCTGAAGAAGCGGGGCATGAAGGAGCCCACGCCGGTTCAGATGCAGGACGCGGAATGAGAACCCACCTGAAGCAGGGCTCCTTTTTGTAGATCTCCATTTCGCAACCAGTTGACACATGTGACTTTTTCCACCCAAACAAAGGGAACCCATTTACAAGTTGCCATGTTCAGGTGTATGATAGGATCCCTGTAACATGTGCACATGTTTTTGTAAACAGACCCTGTCAATGCGAGGATTTTTTTTCGCCCAATACGAGTCTCTCCTTTTCTGGGGTCTCCTTTTCTCGCCCGCGTTTTTTTGTTTTCCTCCTGGCTTTCCTTTAAAGCCGCGATCCAATGATTTTCCTAAGCCACAAACCCCAAAGGGCAACGCCAACACCCCTAAAAAAGTTGGGACACTCATTCAATTTCCATCATTTTTTTTTGCAAGAGCCCATGTTTAAGTTGGAATCTCGAGGGTCCAGGAGCATGGAGCTCATGAACAAAAACACGTCCTCTTGGTTTTGCTTCAAAGCCACAAAGCACCATTGCCGCGATTCTCCTGGCTTTCCGAGAAAAAGAAAAACAAACAAGGCCGGGAGGGTACGCCAACTCAGACGACTCAGGCGCCAACTCACGTCCCAAGAGCCGGCGGATGCTCGGCAGGTGTGGCCCTGCGCCTTGAACGGCTTCGATATCGTGGCTGTGGCGCCCACCGGCAGCGGCAAGACCTTGGCCTACGTCTTGCCCATGTTTAGACATATTCAGGCAGTGGAGCCAGTTCTTTTTTGGGGGGGGGAGGGGAGGGGAGGGGAGGGGAGGGGGAGGGGAGGGGAGGGGACGGGAGGGGAGGGGAGGGGAGGGAGGGGAGGGGAGGGGAGGGGAGGGGAGGGGAGGGGAGGGGGAGGGGAGGGGGAGGGGAGGGGAGGGGGGGAGGGGAGGGGAGGGGAGGGGAGGGGAGGGGAGGGGAGGGGAGGGGAGGGGAGGGGAGGGGAGGGGAGGGGGGCCATGTTTTTGTTTGTTTTTTCGGGGGTCGGAGGCGGGGAGCCATTTTTGATGTTTTCTTGGGGGGGAGGGAGGGAGGGGAGCCATTTCTTGATGTATGTTTTTTGGGGGGGCAGGGGAGGGGGCTTTTTGTTTTGGGGTGGGTGGGTGGGTGCGTCAGGAGGGCATATTTCATGGCTGTGGAGGGAGGGGCAGGGAGCCAAAAAATGGCCCAAACAAGGCCTTACAAAGGGACACTCATCCATTCAGGCCAAGAGCATAGCTTGCTGGTGAGCTAGGTGAGACATGGAATGACCCCGAAAGAAACCTGGAGGTTTCCTTTAAGGGGACCTCTGGGTTCATTCCCTCATTCCTTACTAAGCACCAGCATAGCTGTCCTTTTGATCGGTTAGTTTGGATAGAAAAGTAGATGGGTGATACTGGTTTAGATTGGTGTCATGCCCCACCAGGGATTCTCATCTACTTTCCCAAAAGGACACCTATGGCAAAGGGTTGGGTTTTCGCATGGGTCATGTACCCTTTGAAGGGAGCCGTGTCAAATGTAAATCAAAGGGCACACACAGTTGCGCCAGTTTGGGAGGTCCCCTAAAAAAGACGCACACGCATGTGCAGCTCATGTAAAGTTGAAATCTTTTGGAGGGAACACCCCCTTATAAATAAACCGGGGTTGATTAATCTGGGGTCAGCATTACAGCTGTTAACGCTCGCCATGATCTATTTACTTTGGCGAGAATGGGGGTCATTTTGGGGGGGTCGGAATCGTCGGTCAAGGGCTGGATCTGGAGGTCAAGTCAAAAACGTTGGTTGGTACCTATATGGAGTTTTAATGAAAGAAGGTCTCCGTTTTGATCTGCTTGCTTTTGACCTGACTGAATGCTTTTGGAAGTGTTACCCCCCCGCACTTCCAGCAAATCCGAACAGACAGAAGAACATCTTGAAGATGTCCGCACGGCCCTGACTTCCGCTGGTTGCCCTTCCAGATGTTGTTCGGAGCTTGGGTTCTGTGCGCAGAAGCCCAAAACCAAAAGTCCCTTGAAATTCGCGCGTTTGTCAAACCATCGGGACCCCAAAAACGACAGCTGGGGTTCCTTTGGTTTCCGCGAGCCGTGTTCGCAGGGCGTTGGTTTTTAGGGCCACCCGAAGCCCACGCCTCAGTTGAACGCGAACAACGAGAAGCAAGGGCCCATTGGCTTGGTGCTGGTGCCAACCCCTGCCCTGGCAAAGCAGATCTTCGACGCAGCTCGGACCTAT